TTGCATGGCCCCCTCGCGAGGCACCACGGCCCACTTGTCGCGCGGCCGCACCAGAACCCGGCCGGCTGCAGACCTCTAAATGGAACGTCCGTCCCCGCATAGCCGAACACCGTATATGCCCGGACACTTTTCGCTCGTTATTAGATATCTCGCAATGCATATCGTTCCTGCTCTTCAAAAGCATTCTATACTGTTTATTAGTCCCTTGTGCATCAATCCAGCCTCTATATATAAAGAAACACCTTCTCGGTACATAGCAATACGTGTTGCGCCATTAAAGCCAAATCGATGCTTGCACTTCCAACCTGTGATAAGGCGTAGTATTGGTGAAAAAGAAGTTAAAATAGGTATTCACGGCTAGCCAAACGCCAAGACTCTGCGTTTGGACCACTTCTTACCTCCGTACGGCTGTTGTCAACAGTGTTGTAGGGATGCAAACAGCATTACTAAACGCAGCTCCCATAGCTAAAAGTGCGCTGTAAATAGCTGCTATTTACAACGAGGGTTTTCTGCAAAAAGTGCAAATTTGGGGGCCACTTCGAAAGTCTTGGCGCTAATTCTTGTAGCGACTTTAGCGAGAATCTTAGGAAAAGAGGTACTCTATTTGCAACCGCATAGCGCTCTTATTCTACGCTCGATTAATTTAATTATTAGTTTAATCGATAGCTAGGAAGAAGGGCTTTCTAATAAACTAGAAACTATAGTATTAGGACTTTATACGATGGAGAAATCGGCCGCGAAATATAGTAGAATTACGTGCGCTGCTAATAGCTAGAGGGGGAGCTGCGTTTAGTAATGCCGGGATGCAAAGATAATCGACAGTTCGCAGCTCGGGTTTCAAAAGCCTCGAATTAATCGCGGGGGAGGTCTCAGCCTCTAATGAGATCTCCACGATCAGATAAGGCCTGCCGTTACCCGATGTCGGATCATCTTCGCTGCCTATAATAGCGAGCCACACACTCTGCGAGTTCGACTATACATATCCGTCATCTACGTCACGGGGCTGCATCCTAACTCTCGTTGCACGTTCAACGTACGCAGGATTGCCCAACAGAATGTCGACATCGCTTACCTCAAGTATATGCCAGCGATTCGTTCGTTCACCAACTGCGAATAACTAGTAGCAGCCACGGCGGGGTAAATGGTGGCTTAGGGATCGCCAGCCTGTCCTTCATGCTTCAACAGCCTGTCCTAGGCTACAGCCTCGTCATGATAGCCTTGTCGGCATACAATCGCATGTGTGGCTTCTGTCATCGCTTGTGCCTTGCCATGCCATTCTCCTTACGCTGATATTATAGCACAAAGCGCGCCATGCGACTCTTGCAGTGCGACGAAGACGGCGGCTACCGTCTCACAGAAGACTTGGCAGAGGATGACCTACCACCGTATGCGATTCTCTCGCACCGCTGGCTAACAGAGACCGACGAGCCGACCTTCGAGGACCTCACGCGTCATCGGGCTCATGATAAGCTTGGATACCAGAAACTGCGCTTCTGTGCTGGACGGGCAAGAAGAGATGGGCTGCGACATTTTTGGGTGGACACCTGTTGCATCGACAAGCTCAACAAGGCGGAATTGTCTAGGTCCATCAACTCCATGTTTCGATGGTACCAGAATGCGGCTACTTGCTACGTTTATCTACACGACATTACCAGTCAATCATCGGACCGGGACAAGTTGAGGAAACTTCGATCAAATGCATGGTTTACACGTGGTTGGACACTCCAAGAACTCCTGGCTCCCCACTCTGTTGTCTTCTATTCGGGGAACGGTGAACGACTCGGCGACAAAGACTCGCTTGAGCAGCTTATACACGAGGTCACAGCCATTCCCAAGACAGCTCTTCGAGGAATGCCGTTGCATCGTTTCAGCATTGACGAGCGGCTGGCGTGGATGACTGCTCGGGGGACTACATTCGAAGAAGACAAGGCTTATTCGTTAGCAGGCATGTTCGATATCTACCTTGCTCCAGTGTACGGTGAAGGATTCGCACAGGCGCACAGAAGGCTTCTCGAACTGATCCATCACCGCGACAACTGTGCTAGAGATCTGCGCCTCAGCAACCCTTCTGACGACAAGAGGCGAATCGAGCACACGAAGGGTGGTTTACTAGTAGATGCCTACAGGTGGATCCTCGACCATCCGCAGTATATACAATGGCGTGACAGTGACCAGTGTCAAACCCTGTGGGTCAAGGGTGATCCGGGCAAGGGCAAGACCATGCTTCTCTGTGGCATTGTGAATGAGTTGGACAGTCATCTGGCTGACCGCGATCGGTTGTCTTACTTCTTCTGCCAAGCGAGCGATGCGCGGATCAACAACGCCTCGGCCGTGCTGAGAGGCCTGATGCTCTTACTCGTCAATCGGCAGGCGTCGCTCACAATGCATATTCAGGAAGAATATGATCGCTCTGGCAAGAGCCTCTTCGAAGACGGGAATGCCTGGTTTGCTCTGTCTGACATCTTCACGCGCATGCTGCAGGATTCGAGCTTCGGAACAGTGTACCTGATCATCGATGCACTCGACGAATGCGTGGAGGATATGGACAGACTAACAGGCTTCATTCGACAAACGTCCCGTGTCTCCACCAAGGTCAAATGGTTGGTATCCAGTCGCAACTGGCCTTCCATCAAGGAGCAGATAGCAACCGTTGATGACCACGACGAGTTGAGCCTCGAGCTCAATGCCGATGCTGTCTCTCAGGCTGTACGGGTCTATGTCAAGCACAAAGTCCTGCAGCTCTCTGCTCAAAAGAATTATACCAAGGATCTACAATCCACTGTCCTGCGTCATCTCTACACAAATGCGAAGGACACCTTCCTGTGGGTTGCATTGAGCTGTCAGTATCTCTCGAAAGTCCCTGTTTGGAGCACCATCTCCAAGCTCGGACGGCTTCCTCCCGGGCTGGACGATTTATATGGACAGATGTGGAAGCACGTCTGCGCGTCAGATGAGGATGACCTGTGCAGGAGTCTGCTCTCCACAGTCACCGTGCTCTACCGACCAGCAACCCTGGCGGAGTTGACGTGTATCATAGAGTCACTTTCAGAAGTGTCTCACGATCCTGCAGCGGTTATCAACATGATCGAGCATTGTGGCTCGTTTCTGACTGTCAGAGCAGACCAGGTATACTTCGTCCATGAGTCTGCAAGGGAGTTCCTATCGCTCGCGGTCTCCAGCGAGCTGTACCCTTTCGGGAAAGGACGGGTGCATCACCAGATCTTTTCAAGATCATTGCAGAATCTTTCCTTGACTCTCAAGCGAGACATATACCGCTTGTCCACGCCCGACGTGTTTATTGAAGATATCAAGCGACCAGATCCAGATCCACTTGCCAAGTCACGCTACTCAATTGTGTACTGGATCGCCCACCTTTGTGCGTGGTACTTCGAATCTTCCAAAGATCCTGGCGGTAGCTCACACCACTCTTTACATTCTATTCACGACTTTCTTCAACGTAATTGCCTTTATTGGCTAGAGGCTCTAAGCCTTTGTCGAGGAATGTCAGACGGTGTTATCCTCCTAGGAAAACTGAAGGACTTGGTAGGGGTATGAGCCAGAGCTTGTCATTTCATCACCATATAGACTAACATGAGCTAGTCAACCTCCAGTGCATCTGCAATGTCGGAAATAGTGCAAGATACGTTTCGTTTCGCAATGTATCACAAGCAGATGATAGAGACTTATCCTCTGCAGATATACATATCTGCATTGCTGTTCAGTCCGCAGCGGAGTGTTATTCGGCGATGGTTCCGACACGACGCACCAACGTGGGTCAGTATAAAAAATGCTGTAGAGGAAGACTGGAGTGCCTGCATACAAACGCTAGAGGGCCACGGCAAGACGGTGAGCTCGGTCGTCTTCTCCGCCGACTCGTCTCGCCTGGCCTCGGCGTCCTCGGACAAGACGGTCAAGATCTGGGATGCGA